GCCGTTTGTCGCAACCCCTTGCCTGCCTTCTTCCTTTCTGAGCTCTGGGTGAGAGTATTTCATCACTGGGTGGGCTTTATCACYTTCGTATGTTGAGGACTGTGGGGTTTCCTTTTTCTCTTTACYTTTTCCTACTTGTCTGTAAATCTTATTACTTACTGTTTGTGCTTAATGTGTAGTCACAAAAACATCTACAAGTCACTACAAGGAGTGGAGTGTTCCACCCCTCAACACACACACACACACACACACACACACACACACACACACACACACACACACACACACACACACACACACACACACACACACACACACACACACACACACACACACACACCCCTCTATTTACACGAGTGGTATGTCCTGTGTTGAGTTAGTGTAACGTAATCTTGTTTTCTGCCTGTTGATTGGCTGAGCCAGGCAGAACTCGCAAACTTTGCAGAGACGAGGTGTACAAGAAGAGCAGCTTCTTGGATGGAGATGTCTGAAATGAGCAGAATTTCCAGGAGGTTTCAGACAAACTGGCCGCCCACAGTTACACACGCAATACTAAACAGTGTCGTGACAACTAATTTTAAAAAAGTCAGACTGCTGGATCACAAAACCACAACAGCTTTTTTTTGTTTGTTTTTACCACAACGGATGAAGCTGCATGGACAATCTGCCCACAGAGTGAGAGACACACTGACATGGAGACACACCTGAACAGAACCGAACGTGAGACTGGACAATGGAGACGGGGCTTTAGAGACAAATAWCCATTCACACTCTCACCTATGGACAATTTAGAGTTACCATTTAGCCAAACAGTCATGTTTTTGGTTTGTGGGAGTACCCGGTGAAAACCCACACATGCACAGAGAGAATATGCAAACGTTACCCATAAGRCCCCAGCTGGGATTTGATCTGGCAACCTTCTCACTGGGAGGCTACAGGTCTACCAACTGAGCCACSGTSGTGCCTAAAATTCAAAATGTGTTCATTAAAAACAYCATGGACAGTACCTGTGGTCCTGCAGTTAGGACTGCAACTCCAGCCGCAACTGCAAGTTTGTGTTGGAGTGCTGGCGGTGTCTGCTGTCACAGGATGATGACATCATAACATCATAAGGCTGCATTCCATTAAAAACACTTAAATGTTAACTTCAACACTCAGTTGAAACATTTAACTTTTAACTTTTTATACTCAGATTTACACATTTAGATTTAGGATTTGATATTTACATATACTTTTAAATGTTTAAATTTAACATTTTCGTAAAAAATTGCAAAAAGTAGGAACAGTGAGCAGAGGAACAATAAATAGTAGAAAAGTTTCAACTCTCAGAAAGTGAGCTAAATAAATAATGTGTTAGTGAAATTTTTTAACATTCAGTTTTACACTTGGTGCCCCATATGTGATGTTTAACTACAATTCTGAAGTGCTTGAGCCTGCTGACACAACAGAGGAACCCGAAAGTAAACTTTGACTGCTGACGGAAATTTATGGGACCTTTCCCTCATCTGGTTTGTTCAGAAGTAAACACTTGAGGCTGACATGAGACATAATGTCACAGCCAACAAACACTTTTTCTGACTCTCAAAGATATGATAAATCTATCATATTTGACAAATTTGTTTAAAAATACAATCACTGACAGCTCACACAGTGACTCAGAATATTTTCACCTGTGTATCACATTGTTTTTTTCTCCTCTGTCGTCCTGTTAGTGTGGCAGATAAAAACAYTCCTAAAACCATGTTTGAGTTCAACAGAGAAAGCAAAGAGAGCTTGAACAAAACAGATGGGAGCTGAGAAAAAGAAAAAGTCTTGTTTACCTTTCCTCCCTTTCTGGGTGGAGAGGTATTCATTAGCTGCTGTGTAAATCAATCTGCTTCTTCTTAAAGGCCTGTCAATTTAGCCGTGACGTCTGGCAGCCTGACACCGCTCACTGGATATTTAACCTGAAAGCCAATTAATCATCATGATTAATTCACTCACAAACCACATGGAACTGTTCCGCTTTTCCTTTCTGGAATAAAAGCCAGAACTTCAAAAAGAGGAAGAAAACGAGAGAAAGACGAAACTCCTGCTCATTCTTGATCAGCGTTTCAGTGAAGAGTCTCAGCTGCGAGTCCACTACTCTTCTTTTTTAATGCAAATCTAAAAAGTCAAACAGTTACTCTGCAAACACTACAGTTCTGATGAAAACCCCCACCTCRGCTAGTGATTATAAAGCAGTGGCCGTAATTGGATTTGTATGTTAACACAGGTTTGAACTGTGAATATGAATTTGATTGAACACATGAAAAAAAACCCTCTTCTGTGCTTGCCATGTTCTGCCTGGCTAATATTTTCCTTGCTCAACGTAATATTTCCACCTCTTTCTCAATGGAAAAAAGAGGATTACACATTAGGAAAGTGGAATGTGAATATGTCYTTCATTCTGTTCGCTATCATCAATTTCCAAAGTCTCAGCTACGGTAATGGAAATGACCTAAACTGTGTGCAGAGTTACTGAGAGAAACAGGGTTGTGCTATCAGCAAAAGCGAGATGATTTCCTGCTTCTTCAATCATCTGCTATTATTTCCTCTGCTCATTCACTGAGCCATGGGAGGATTTAATCCATTCCTTTAGCTGAGCTGCTGTGATAGACTGTGTGAACTTTGTGTCCCTTTAAAGCAGCTTTCTGGCACTTGTTTTACAGTAAAAGTGGATGTTGCACAACAATGGCTGCAAAGGAAATGACCGCAAAGTAATCTAACCACATTTTAGTGAGTAAAGCCCTGAATGTTTCACTGATGACTTACTGTTTCCTGTAAAATATTTTAGGCTCACACAATCAATAAATCCACATATATTAGTAATGTCCTCCTTTGATCCACCAGGAGAACARGTCTTACTTGCAGTCTAATCTGTTCCGAAGCAGTAAACTATCTCTGTTTCTGTTCGAGTGCAAAAGCTGACAGCTCTGTTCGGATTCGGCACATTTCCCTCTCCACACCTTCGCCAGAGGGAAAGAAATTTTGTGCGCCGCAGCATCTGTTAAACAGATGTAACGTCTTCAGATTACACCTGGTCGGGCCGAAAACTTCTCTCGAACTATTCCTGAGAAAAACTCAGTTGCACYTTCACGGTGAGATTTCCTGTAGAGTTTGTAAAAGTCGCTGCAATGTTAGTGAAGTAAGTTAACCTTTACAGCTTTTTAAAGACATTTAAAACAAAACCAGCAATGCAAAGAAAATGCATTTTAATCTGTGTTTAGGCTGTTGTCTAAAATGATTTAAGAACATACAAATGACCCAGACTGCTGTCAAAACAGTTAATAAAAATAAAAATAAAAACTTCTATAAGCGTACTTGTTTTGTTGTAGGACATCTTTTAAAAAATTACAGAGTGTGCATGTGACTCATTTTAAACTTATAATTTATGTCCCAACTAGACTACAARAGTCTTGACCTGTATAAAATAGGCATTAAAAAAGAAATGTTAAGAACACCTGCAGTATTTTGTAGAACATGTACAAAAGTCCAGAAGTTTCCTTATTGTCACTTTAAAATCAAACACATTGTACCTCGATTCAAAATGAGCTCAACATCATAGAACAGTAAATCTTTTTTGTTATATGTGAATTATTCATTTAGCACTAAAATGATTTTTACTACAGTCATTTAAACAGGACTCAKTGACATTACCTGTGTAGATAAAAACAAAACAAACCGATGAGCTATAATGTTTGCATCAGATGTGTCTGCATTTTCTCAAGAAACATTAGAAAAGGTCAGATCTTATTGTTGTAAAATTTTAGAAGTTTTTAACCAAACCTTTGCACAGAAATCTCTGCTTTAATTGTACTGATGTTTCACACAATCTTTTGTCTGATACAGTTTTCTTAGAAACTGTGTAAAAA